ACTGCAAATTTCATATTCACTCTAGCTTGGTAAACAAACTCAATTTCCATAGCCAGATTATGTTCCAAATTTGAACTACCTTGAAAATCTCCAACTTTCAGGGACTTGATGGCAACTATAGGAGATTTATCAGCGAGGTCAAGCAATTCCTGGCCTAAACCAGTTGCAAGATCATTCCACAAGGAAACCACAACAGTCCTCTTACTGCATTACAAAAATTCGAAGCTTTAATACACAACAAAAATAAATGGAAAAAGCATTCAACAAACATGCACTCACGTCTCATCTGCTATGGTCATATCACGCTTTGGAACAGTCTCATTGTCCATCTTCCTTCTAAGGAGCACTTTATCAGAAACATTCTGAACAACTCCAATTACATCTGAAGCAAAATGCAAAAATAATAAAAATAGTGATAATCAGGGGATAAAATAAGATTAATTTAGATATGAACATACAGAAGGATGGAGGAGAATTATTACCAACAAGTTCCCTCCCATTGACATAGGGTCCCAACTGATCGATGGGTACAAAGTTGAACTTTGTTTCAGGAATAAAAGTTTCTTCATTAGCAGCCTCTTCTACCTCGGAGTTCTCATTTAATGTCATTTCATAATCATTTTTCACGGTCTTAAACTGCTTATTAGCGACTTTTAAAGTTCCCTTGGATATGTAATAGACCTTCCCCAACTGGAATCTATCATAGAACTTCCTAGCAGCTTCATTGAACATGGTGGCTTGTATTTGTGTCCCCTACACAGATCAATTGTCAATCAATATATATTCATTTGAATTTGTTAAATGCAAAATTTAAAGAATAGAAAACTATGCTGCTTACATCTTCATCTGTTAGTTCCACATTAAAGACACAACCTTCTCCTCTAGCATTTCTGTATGTCCGCATGTTCCCCTTGCTTGTGACCCGAACTTTTATGGTCCAATTTCCTTGGTAAGGGTTCAAGGAAACAAGAGGATGCACTCTTCTTGTCAGTGACATTCTGGCAGCAGGTGCCATACTGTAAAACAAAGCATGAACCATTATTAGACAATGGACAACAACTAAGCCCTCTTCACAGCATATTTTCATATCCCAAACATCATCATCAAAGTGCGCTGAACTCAAACCAAGGATACTTACTTTTCACGCTGCTCGTATACTATTTGAGCAGCAGACTTAGCTACCGTTTCCTGCTTTGGCTTCAAGATAATGCCAGTTCCCGCCTTGGCCTCATGCTCGACCAAAGTTTCCTGCTTTGGCTTCTTTATAGTCCCGGATTCCTCATTGCTCTCTTCAGCCTTGAACTCCATCTCAAGTGCAGGACACACCACCTCACATTTTGTTACAATTAAGTATCTGAAACCAGTCAAATATCATTCCATGTGATGTTATGAACCAAATTCCTGCAAAATACTTAAAATTCTTAACAAAAATAATGCAACCCTTACTTTTCTGATTTATTTGGAATGTCATTGAGAGTGTAGTCAAGAATGCGAACAAGACCCTTGTTTTGGATGCCTCCTGAAATGACTTCAGCAGAAATATTTGATGGGAAAATTGCTCTTAGATTCATCTTCCCATCACCGGCGCTAAATCTGCAGGTACAGCAAACTTTATCCTTCAATTTGTTCCGCATAAACAGCCTATTATGAAATTGAAGACCAACACAAGGTACAGATCCGTGTTCTAACAACAAAGAGCAGAGAAAGCAACATCCCGTCAAAATAAAAAATTATCTACACTCCTTTCCCCACAATTTTCTTAGCAGCCAAACAGATTATAACTAATGGAGATTAAAAAATTTTGAAAAAAAAAAAGGAGTAACTGTGCTTAAAAGTTCAGATCCTAGAATTTTCATCAATAACAGATTAAACAAAATGAAGAAACGGAATCACAATCACCAAATAACAAACATCAACACAGTTGAACCAATCATTGACCCTTTAGAAAGAACTAGAAAAACAGTCGATCGAAAATGGACACAGCGTTAATCTTACGTGTAGCGATTGCCCATAAGCTTGAGGTCCAGAACCTGCACGACGATCTCGGGAAGATCTGAGGAAGAATCCGGAGATGGGTTAGCTAGGATCAAAGATACTGCATCTGGGGTCGGTGATTTTTCCATCTCTATTTTCTTAGGAAGTGTATTCTGGAATGGAGGCGTAACGTTGGAGATGAAGAATGGAGGAATGGAGCGAAGGAGTAAAGGGGCCTTGTATTGAACGGTTTTGGAGGGTAATTTCGGAGCTCAATTCATTTTCCCGCTGGATTTTTATTTTTTGGAAAAATTTTGATTTCCATGTTAGCGGGAATCTTAAAAGCACAAAGCCACAAACCAAGTATTTAACTTAAGAAGTAAAAAAAATTTTAAAAAAAGTACAAACCGAGCCACCCACATTTTCCGAACAGCGGGTTCTACGTCTAGTCTTCTACTGGATTGGGTTGGGCTACATTTCCTTACACTCTTTACTAAGGTTTGGTCTATCAAATTAAAAGCCTGTTTTCCTTGGCGCTATTTTGCAGCCTAGTTTCACAAGGTTTAAAAAGAATTTGGTTTAGTGTAATAGAAGATTTTATGTAAATATAATATGTAAAATTTATATATAAATGAATTTTTATTCATATGAGTATATGTATTAGCTTTTATTCAAGTTTCTTTTAGGTTTCTCTTCAATTCCAAACAAATGTACCCATAAAAGGAAAAAAGAATTGTATACCTTTGGTGTTATTTATATGAGATCAGTCACATCGCCATGTCATCATTCTTTCATAACAACAAGTATTTCCTACCCGCTATGTGGGTTATTGGGATGTTTTTGTGTTTTAAAAGGATACTTTTTATTAAGTTATGAAAAGATAATGTTTAAATTTATTGTTAAGTTAAATTGTTAAATTGGGATTAAATTGGTTAATTTTTTTTCTCTCAATAGATAATGAAAAGAATGGAAATACATCAAGCTAATGGAAATTATTAAATTTATAAACTAGGTAAGAGATCCATTTATTTTAGAGTTTTCCTACCATGTATCTTAAGTAATATGATAAATACTTAGTTTAACCCTTTATCTTAACAACTTTGTAGGTTTTAGTCTCTTACCTTATATCATGACACTTTTAACCCCTCACATATTCGAATTAAAAAAATAACTCTTATTTAATATTCTATTAGTTGACTATTAGTATTCCGTTATAAAAAACATGAAATTTAAACTCAATTTTATTTGTTAATTCTGTTAACGGAATATTAATTGTCAGTTAATAGAGTTAACAGTCAGCAAACATAACTAACAGTCAGTAAATAAAACTAACAGTCAGCTAATAAAACTAACAATCAGATAACAAAACTAACAAAATGTTATAACTTAACGTTAAGGAAGGGTTATTTTCTTCAATTCATATAGGTGAGGGGTTAAAAATGTTATAGTATAAGGTGAAGGATTAGAATCTATAAACTTATTAAGGTAAATAGTTAAAAGTAGGTTTTTATCGAGTAATATATGCATTTATCCCAATAATTTGTTGGTTCAAGTGAAATGAGTTCAATTCCTTTTAAGTAAATTCTTGAGTTCGAGTTTTATCGATGAAAAAATAGACATTGGAAGAGCTTTTCCCTTATAGAGTTTAACACGGCTTGAATATTGATTAATCAAGTCTAATGTAACTTCTGAATATAAGGAGTTTAGTACAAAAATATATATATGCATTTATTTTATGATTTTTTTAACTTGTGCCTATGCATTTATTGCACATTTTCACCATTAATTTGTATAAAAAAATTATGAAAATAAATTTTATTTTTGATATTAATGTCATGTAAAATATTTAAACTACATATCAATAAAATTAAAGTCAATTTTTATTTATTTTTTACAAATTAATGATGAAAAAAATACAATAAATAC